CTCTGCCTCCACGCCTCCTGGGGATGGCTCAGCACAGCGGCTACGAGCCAGTGAACGACTTCCCGGTCAGCGGCCCTGGGCTTGAACCCAGACTCTGCCCTTTCCGAGTTGTGTCATCAGGTGAGTTTCTACCCTGAGCCTCAGCTTCCTCCTCAGAGGAATGGAGGGGGCACCCAGTGGTCTGCCCGCCTCCCCCCAGCACAGGCCTGATGTGAAGTGGGGCCTCCACTGGTCCTGTCCCTCCCCCTCCCCCGTCCACTCTGCTCGGGTGTGTCCTCACTGCCTGGTCCTGGGGAAGGTGCTTGCTGGTAAGAGATGGTCTGTGATGCCCCTTTGGGCCTGACCACGCCCACAGGGCTGGCTGGCCCACAGAGGGCGGGCACCCCAGCCATGACCGCAGCAGCAGCAGGCGGCCCTTGCATTTGAGCCCTGTTTCCGTTTTGTGTTTAAACTCAGCGGTGAAGACTGCGGACCTGAAGCGGCGGGTCACAGCCCTGCTCGCCACCTGGCAGCTGTGGCCCTGGACCAGTTACTAGAACGTTCTCTGTCTGTTTCCTCGTCTGTGACGATGGAGAAGAGCGGGTGCTGCTTTGAGGGGCCAGCCTACAAGTCCGGTGAGAGCACCGGGCCCGCCCTCGCCGCCCGCTCAGTTCCAGCCAACGCATCAGCCTCCTTGTTGTGGGTCCAGCACACCGAGCCGTCCCACCTCAGGGCCTTTGCACTTGCTGTTCTCCGCCCAAATGCTCTTTCCCGGAGAGCCGCGTGCCTTCACTTCAGGCCTCAGGCCACAGTCACCCCCTCCGCGCCCCCTCCCCGACTGGACTCAGCTCCACGGGGCCCTGGCCCGGAGGCTGTGTCCCAGCCCTGGCGCGTTCGCTGAGTGCGTGCGAGCGCAAATAAAGCTCCGCAGGACGGAAAAAGCTCTTTCCTCTCTGACTGGGAGTTTTAATGGGACTCTGACCAACCGGGTCCTGTCCAAGGTCAGGCTGACCTCTTCACCGTCCCCCGAGACAAGAAGAATGATGAGAACTCAGGCTGCGTCTGAGAGAGAGGAGTGCTGGGTGGTACTGGAGGGCGATGGTCACCCTCCCCGGGCAGGACCCGGCCCTGAGCGTGTGAGCCGCCTGCGGCTGAGGCTGCCAGTCCCTCCACCGTCCTCTGCTCAGAGCCCGCAGCCCCCCCTCGGGAAACCGGCCCCCAAACCCGCTGGTGACGCCCGGCAGGCCCGGCACCCGCCGCTCCAGCCCAGACCCGGCTTTCCTGAGCGCCTGGAGCCAGGGGCCCGGGGCCCAGAGCGAGGGTGGGTGCGGGGCCACGGCTGAACCCGAGGCATCGGCGCCTCCAGGGAAGGCTCAGGTGCAGGAGCGGGCGGCCCACACAGAGCAGGGAGCAGCGGGGGAGCGGGTGGCGATGGAGGAGACCTTCTCTTCTCCCCTCCGCCCGTCTCTAATGTCCTCCTCGGGGGGCCGTGCCCGCGTCCCCCTGCTCCCTCCCCCTCCGGGCGCTGTCCCTGCGACCCACGTTCCCTCAGAAACCCTGGGGCCAGAAGCCTCCGATTGTCCAAGGTGGCCGTGCACACAGACCAGCCGACGGAGCCCCTCCCCTCCACGCAGCCCCGGGACCATCCCAGGGGCAACCCTGCAGGACGGCGCGCTCAGCGCTCAGCGAGGAGGAGAAACACAGGCCCAGCGGCCTCCAGCTGGGCTCGGGTCAGGCCGTGTACCGGCTGAAGTTTTTGTGAAAAAGCTTGGGGTTTTCCGAGCCGGTGGCGTTAGGAATCATAGATGGGGGGTGAGGGGGGTGTCCTGAGTTGTTTGTAGGTACGGCCTGTCTTCTCAAGGGGAATGTGAGCTCAGGAGGGCAGGGACCTGCCAGCGCTCCGGCGGCAGCACCTGGCATCTGCCTGCACTCTCCGTGCCCAGCACACATTCGAAGGAGAAATGCACGAGGAAGGCGGGGGTTGGCTAGGGAGAGGTGACTCTGTTCTAACTGGGGCAGAAACTGCCATCCCTGAGCCACGGGCAAGGTGCCCATAAAAACTATCTTGTGAACACCCGCCCCGCCCACACCCATTTTACTGACAAGCAAACCGAGGCTCAGAGAGGTTAGGCAGCCGCCTCCAGTCTCAGATGGGAAGCAGCAAGCTCACATCGGAACCCGGGCCCTGCCTTCCAGCCCATCTCTGTGCCTCCAGCTCAGAGGAGCAAAGACTTGCTGGGAGTCACACCACAAGCCACGGGAAGAGGGCCCCTCTGACGGCCCCTCTGACGCCGGCTCCTGCAGGGCCCCGCAGCCACCGCTGGGTTCTCCCACCCCCTCTGGCAAGGGCAAGTTCACACAACATCCCCGCAAGCCACCGGCCTGTCTTCCAGACCAGCCGCGGGGAGTCTGGTCTGACATGGCCAGGGATGTCTCACAGGGCCGGCCCTGAGGCATGCTGGGAAAGAGGTCCCTCTGGTCCCCCCAGCAAACCCGGGCGGTGAAGAACACAGGCTGGGGAGGGAAGGAGGTTCGAATCCCTCCCTGTCAGCCCTACACCTGGGACCTGAGGCCAGGCCACCACACACATCGCTGGCTCTGTTTCCTCACCTGCCCAGTGGGCAGACTGACCCCCGTCCAATGGGGTTAATCTCTTAATATTTTACAAACACATGGTGCTTACTCCATACCGGGCATTGTTCTGTATGCCTGACACTTATTTTCAGCATCATTACAACCATATAAAGTCATCACTATATTTTCACAAGTGGGGAAACTGAGGTCCTGAGAAGTCAGCCACTCTCAGCCCCAGGCAATGCGGCTCCAGAGCCCATGCTCTGAACCTCTGGACTGTGCTTTTTTCTTTGTTTTTAGTTATTAATCCTCACCCAAGGCCATATTTTCCATTGATTTTTAGAGGGAGTGTGGGGGGTGGAGGAGAACATTGATGTGAGAGAGACACACAGATTGGTTGCCTCCTGCACAAGCCCTAACCGGGACCTGGGCATTGAACCTGCAACCCAGGTGCGAGCCCTTGACCAGGAATCGAACCTATGACCCTTCCATGCACGGCCGCTCTAACCACAGAGCCACACTGGCCAGGGCCAGGATCACTTCTGGACAGTAACAATAGACATGCGTGTTTCCTGTGGAAGGACTCTGTGCTGGGAACTGTGTTTCATGAGATGCCGGTTTTACAAATGTGAGGAATGGAGCACCCAGGGGCCTTTGGTCCCTGCCCCGCCCAGCAGACGGGAAGCGCTGAGGGCAGTGAGCTGTCTGACCCTAACGCCTCCATCCTGGCGGGTCAGGGGGATGGGGAGGAGAGGAAGGTCTAGGAAAGGTCCCCTTCCACTTCCCGGACACCTCACTCCAGCTCCTTTCTGAGCATCAGGAAACGGACGCTGGGGGACAGCCTCCCTGCCTGCTGGGCTCTCTGCAACCCGGGCTCCAGTGCACACACCAGCACTGAGTCACTGCTCCGATGCGGAAATCCCGAGCTCACCCACACCTGCTGGGAAATGGTGTGCGTAACCAGGGCGACTGGCTAGTGGGCTCCCCCTGCCTTCCTGGGCCTCCCTCCAGATTCAATGCCGAAGGCCCAGGAATCTGCATGGCGGCTCCTAGGGCTCAGGCGAAGGCGGGACACTGGCGCCCTCCTCAGCGGGGCACTGAGACCTTCTACAACGTGGCCACACCCACCTTTCCGCCCCTCTGGCTTCTCCCTGCTCCCAGCACCCCACACCACGGCTTCCACACTCCCAGCCTCTGTCCATGCTGCTCCCACTGCCAGCATACCCCCCCCTCCCCCCAAGCTCCCGGCCCAGCCCCTCTCCTTCTCTCCCCGCTGCTCAGGGTCCTGCTCAGGGAAGCCAGTCTCATGCCCGTGAAGAGCTGGTCACCCCCTTGTTCCCCCCCCCCGCCCCCAGAGGGCGCCTCCTCAGGGCAGACACCGGTGCCCAGAGCCGCACTGGGCAGGCCCAGGAGCACTGTGAGAGCTGGGGAGTGAGGGTTCGGGGGCCCCTCCCGTCCACCCTCAGCATCCTCCTCGAATCACAGGTTGGACTAGCCCAGTTCCGGGCCCTCTGCAGGACTCTGGAACCCCCTGATGGTGGGGGACACCCTGGCCATACGGACACCGAGCCTCAGTTTCCCCAACAGACTAAGATTTTAACAAAGACGCTGATGTCCCAGCAAAAGCTCCGGCTCCTAAGAGGCCGCCCATTGGGAGCAGCTGCGGGGTCACAGCTCACAGAGGCCTGGGGCTCGAGCAGGTCAGAGCTGGCCTGGGCATAAGCTGTGAATCCCAGCACCCGCCACCGGTCCCTGGTCCCAGCCCCTCCTGATGATAGAAAATACAGGTTTTTAAATGCAGATTCCCGAGTTTACTGAGTCTATCTGGTGGAAGGGGCTGGGAGCCTGCGGTTAACAGATCCCAGGAGAATTTGTTTACGGGGCGGTTTGACAAACACCGTGGTCAGGTGGCGGCAGACAGCCCGGTTCCTTCCTGACCAGCTTTCCCGGGTGATTTCAGCGCCGGTGCCCACGCCCCGGCCTGGAAACGGTGGGGGTACCCGGTGCGAGGAGAGCATTCTGACTCACTCCCAACACGGTCCGCGCCCAGGCGCCCGCACAGCGGCGGCCCCGGTGCGGGTCCACCCAGCGATATTCAAACGAGGAGGCCAAAGGTGGCAGGGTGTCACCCGAGTCCTCGAGCCCGTCTCAGGCTGTCCGCTTCCAGAACTGCCCCCCTTTCCACCCCCGTCCCCCAATCCTCACCGACCCCGGTGCGCGGCCGGGGTGACCGCCCGGGAGGGGCGGCGTGGCCAAGCCCCGGGCCCCCACGTTCCCCAGCCCGGAGGCGACAAAGTGCGGAGGCGCCGGCTTCCGAGCACTGGGCCAGCTTCCCGCGGCGGCCCGGCACCTGCCCTGAGCCGGCTCCGCCCCGCGCGAGTCAGACCCTGGACCCCGCCGGGCCCCCACTGCCCGGCCCCGGACCATCCCCGCGGCGCCCGTCCTACCTGCGCGCCCCGGTCCATCCCGCGGCGCCCGGGGAAGTGCGGCCTCTGGGCCGGGACCGGCCGTGCGGGGCTTTCCTGGCCGCCGCCCCGCCTCCCGGCCCGCCCGCCCCCGATTTGCATGCACCTCCCTCCCTCTGGGGCGCCCCGTCCCTCTCCGAGTCCCCGCCCTCCGCCCTCCGCCCCCGCGCGCCGGCCTGACCTTTCCCGGGGCCCCGCTCTGCTCCCCGCAGCAGCCTGGCCGCGTCCCGGGGAACCGAGTGCTTCCCGGGGCTCAGAGCGAAAGCCCATCCCGTCCGCCCTGCCGGTCCCTGCGCCCCTCCCGCTGTCCCCCTGCCCGGGAGCGGGGGTGGGGGGTGGGGGGGGGACAAGCCCATCCCTTTCATCCCCCTCATCCTCCCTCTCACCCTCGGGGCAGTGCGCCTGGGGCTGGGGCTGGGCAGCTTTAATCATCCGGCCTCCCCAGCAGCCAAAGATTGCCGGTGCTGGTGTGTGCGCACCCCCACATGGTGACATCCCCCCACATGGCGACATCCCCCCATGGTGACACATGGTGACAGGCTCAGGGAGAATTCAGTGAAACTCCTTGCTCTCATCAGCGGTGCCCCTGACACCCCGTGCTCTCAATGCTCACAGCCGGGAGAACCCGGCTACTCCACCCATTTTACAGACGGAAACCGAGGCACAGAGCCTCTGAGGGAAGCCTGTTTAGAGTCGCAGTAGGTGTGGCATTCGAACCCAGGCTCCATAGACCAAACACTGGGCCACATAGAGCCCTGCTGCAGCCGGAAGGTAGGAAAACCACCAGATGGATAAAGTATGTCAGGTGACAAGCGGCCCAAGAAGAGAGCAAACAGAGGGACCTAGGGGGGCAAGGGGAAGACACAGTACGTCAGTTCTTTTTCCTCATGATTCACACTCATTCTCTCTTGGCCCTACGGTATGCCTGACCTGTGACAAATGCTGAGGACTCTCCCATTCACTAATATGCTCACACATATAAAGATATGACACATAACAGGGCTCCTGACCTCTGAGACCTTACAACCATGTGGACAAGACAGCTCACAACTCCCACATATGTGACAGTGCAGTGGGCCAGTCTCAAGGCATAGTCAGGGGTGGCTTCCTGGAGGAGGTGGCCTCTGATAGATGTCTCCATGGGTCAGTGGAGAAGAGGGAAGGGAAAGGAGATGGGCATTCAGGTAGTGGGGACTGCAAGAGCCAACACTTGGAGGCCAGCAGTGGCATGAAGGGGAGTGACGTCTGTTTGTTGACACCGCCATGTGCCGGGCCCTGAGCTGGGGCGGGGAAGTGGGACATAGACCCAGCCCCTGCTTTCCTGCCCTGGGGTCTGGTCGGGGCCCTGACAAGTAAACAGGCTCAAGCGCTCGAGTGTGGTGAGCTCTGATGGGGCAGCAGAGGGCACAGGAGAGGCCTAGGAAGGACAGAGTGTGTGGGCTTCCAGAGGGAGCAGGGCCTGGCCAGGCCAGGTGTGAGTGCGCAGGTCGGATGGGAGTTCCACGTGGGACGTGACTGTCACCAAGGCCACACCGGGCAGCTCCGGCGGATTGCTTCCCCGAGAAGGGTTTGTTCCTGCTCACTCACACCCACACTCACACTCACACTCACACATTCACTTATATACTCACAGTCACACTCACACATTCACTTATATATTCACACTCACTCACACTCACACACTCACACATTCACTTATATACTCACACTCACACTCACACTCACATATTCACTTATATACTCACACTCAGACTCACACACACTCACACTCACACATGCACTCACTCTCACTCACACTTACACTCACACTCACACACTCACTCATATACTCACACACTCACACTCACACACTCACTCATACTCACACACACTCACACTCACTCATTCACTTATATATACTCACACTCACTCACACTCAAACTCACACTCACACTCACACATTCACTTATATACTCACACTCACTCACACTCAAACTCACACTCACACTCACACATTCACTTATATACTCACACTCACACTCACATTCACACTCACACATTCACTTATATACTCACACTCACACTCACACATTCACTTATACTCACACTCACACTCACACATGCACTCATATATTCACACTCACACACACTCACACTCACCCACATATACACTCACTCCCACCCACACTCACCTGCCCAAACACCTGCACACTCGCAGTCACTCACATACTCATACATCACACACACTTCACTCATGTTCTCATATAGCCACACACATTCACACTCTTACACATTCCACTCATTCACCCTACGTTCACATTGTCACACTCAGGTCCTTACACACCACACATGCTCATAGCCACTCACACTTTCCCACCCATCACACATGTTCACACTTACACTCTCACATCCACACACATTCATATCCACACACGGACGCAAACTCATACACTCACCCCCCTCCCTGACACACTCCTGCCCCTCACACCCCGCAGTCGCACTCACGCACACTCACGCACACTCACGCACACCCACGCAGTCAGTGTTTGAGGCCAGGCCGCTCAGAAGGAGCGCCGCGGGTTTCCCTCTGCGAGGAAGGGACTTCTCTGCTCCGGCCCTGCTGGTCCTGCTGTCTCTGAGCGGCGCCAGCTCATCTGCAGCGGCAGCAGAAGGCTCCTTTGGGGAATGTGTGGTCTGGGCTGGCTGCCCAAACCCGGCTCCCACCCGTTTTCTGCATCTCTAAGTCATTGCTCTTTCCTCACTCCCCGCCGGCTCCGCTACTTGCTGACTCTGAGACTCTGGGCACAGACATCAGTCCCCGAGCCCAGCTTTCCCATCTGCGGGGTGGGGTGGGGATGGGCCCTCCGAGGGCTGTATGAGGCGGGGAGGGACTATGTGAAAAGTGCCTGGCTCACGCAGTGTTCACTGTTGTTCTCATCAGATTGACGGTGAGAAGGAAGCCGGTCAGAGCTGATGGCTGGGCTGTGAAGGGACAGGACAGGACCGAGCCGGTGTGGTCGGGGTGAAGGCATTTGGGAAAGCTGGGAGGAGGGGATGCACGGATTCTTTGTACTCTCCTTGCAATTTTCCTGTGAGTCTGAAATTATGTCAAAACAAAGAGTTAAAGAAAACGGGGCATGGTCCTGAGGCCCACGAGAAAGAACAGTGTGAAGTCTGTCACCGCGCACAGTCCCTGCCCAGGCTGTCCGCACTGCGTCCGGCTGCTCTGCGGCAGGCCGGGAGCCGGGCTGGACGCCTCAAAGTAACGCACCTCGGCCCGCAATCCAGGGGCTTCCCAGTGTTGCCTCAGCGCAAGCCCAGCTCAGACTTCATCACAACACACTCACTCCCTTGTAAGCCCATCCTTCCGGCTTTAAGAAGTAAAATAATTAATTTCAGCCCTCACCCGTATGGCTAAGGGTCAGAGTGTCAGCCTGATTTCACCTACTCATCCTCCTCCCCCTGAATCCTGGACGCCTCTGGTCTTTTTATTGTCTCTGGAGTTCTGCCTTTTCCAGAACGTCAGACAGTTGAAATCAGACAGGAGAGCTTCCTAAGACGGGCTTCTTTCACTTAGTGATAGCCTTTTGGGTTCCTCCATGTCTTTAGTGGCTTGATACCCCATTTCTCTTCAGTCCGAATAATACTCCCTTGTCTGGGAGCGCCACCGATTCTGTGCCAGTCACCCACTGAAGGACTCCTTGGTGGCTTTCCGTGTTTGCAATTACGAATAAAGCTTCTATAAACACTCACGTGCATGGTTTTGTATGGGCATATTTCCAACTCCTTTGAATAAATACCAAGTGTGATTGCGGGATCCGATGGTGGAAATATGTTTAGTTTAGAAAGAAACCCAGACTGGCCTGGCTGGGTTGCTCAGTGGTTGAACATCGGTCCATGAACCAAGAGGTCACCAGTTTGATTTCCAGTCAGGGCGCATGCCTGGCTTTGGGGTCCATCCCTGGGAGGCAGCCTATCAATGCTTCTCTCTCATCAATGTTTATATTTCTCTATCCATCTCCCTTTCTTTCTCTCTAAAATGAATTTAAAAATATATTTTAAAAAAACTATACTGTATCGCATAGTGGCTGCACCATTTGCATTCAGTGTTTCTATTTCTCTATCCCTCTCCCTTTCTCTCTCTCTAAAATAAATTAAATGTTTCTATTTCTATATTTAAAAACTCTACTGTATTGCATAGTGGCTGCACCATTTGCATTCCCACCAGCAAGGAGCAAGAGTCCTCATTGCTTTGCATTCTTGCCAGCATTTGGTACTGTCAGTTTTTGAATGATAGCATATCTAGTAGATATGTATCTCATGATTGTTTTAATTTGCAATTTCCTTAAAGCCATATTAGTTAAGTATCTTTCCATGTGCTTATTGGTCATCTGTGTGTATATTGTCTGTTGAAATCTTTTGCTCATTTTAAAATTGGGTTGTTATCTTCTTGTTGAGTTTTAAAATTGTTTTTGAATAGTTTAAAATATATTTACTGGATACGTGTTTTGCAAAGATTTTTCTCCAGGTCTTTGGCTTAGTTTTTAATGATCTTAAGTATTTTTTTTTAAAAGCAGAAGTTTTAAATTTTAATAAAATTCAACTTAATGAAGTTTTTCTTTTACGGACCATGCTTTAAGTGTTGATCTAAAAACTCATTGGTAAACTTAGATCCTAGATTTTCTCTTATGGTATCTTCTAGAAATTTTATGGTTTTTCATTATACATTTAGGTCTATGGTCTATTTAGAGTTATTTCTGTGAAAGGTAGAAGGTCTATGTCTTGATACTTTTTTTTCTTTCCTTCTTCATTTTCTTTCTCTTTTCTCAAATGGATGTACAGTTGTTCCAGCCCCATTTGTTGAAAAGACCATCTTTTCTCCATCAAATTGTCTTTTTTTCTTTGTCAAAGATAAGTTGAATATATTTATGTGGGTTTTTTTTTTTTCTGAGATTTTATTCTATGCCATTGATCTGTGTGTCTATTCTTTCTCCAATGCCATGCTGTTTTGATTACTGTGGTTTTATAAGTCTTGAAGTTGGGTACTGCTAGTCCTTCAACTTTGTTTTTCTTCTTCAGTATTGTGATGACTGTTTTGGATCTTTTGTC